TTCTGTTTTTTGTGTTTTGTTTGTTTGGGCAACTATCTTCTATCCTGGTGGAAAGAGGCTTTGGCTTCAAGAAGTAGCCATCTTCATCTCTTTTTTTTTCTAGAAAGCTTTTATTAATGAACACAAATTTCATAGGTACAGCTTTAGGGATACAGCGGTTCTCCCCGTATACCCGCCCTCCCACCCTCACTCCCGTCCCACCTCCTCATCCCTTCTCCCACCCCGTTAAGCAGCAGCCATCTTCAATATGATACATTCAGAAGCACAGAACAAACACTTCTCTCATCCTCCATTCAAGAACCTGGTTTCACTTGTGCAGTACGGCCCTCTCACAGACACCACTGCATTGTGCCAAGACTACTGATAGGGGCCAGCACTGTGGGGTAGTAGGTTAAGTCTCCGCCTGTGATGTCGGCATCCCATATGGGCAGCAGTGTGAGTCCTGGCTGCTCCATTTCCAATCCAGCTCACTGCCGATGGCCTGGGAAAACAGTGGGAGATGGCCGGAATCCTTGGGCCCCTGTCCCCACATGAGAGACCTGAAAGAAGCTCCTGGCTCCTGGCTCTGGCCATTGTGGCCATTTGGGGAGTGAACCAGAGATGGAAGACCTTTCTCTCTGTTTCTCCCTCTCTCTAACTCTGCCTCCCAAATAACTCATCTCAAAACAAAACAAAACAAAAGACCATTGATAAACGTATGACACTTATTCTGGGCCTAACATGGGCACGCCTCAGCTGTCTGACTTTTGAGCAGTTGCTTTCCATCTATAAAGTGAGAAGACTGAATTAGAGAATCCTTCTTAATTCCAAGGTTTATGCTTCTTTTAACCATAAAGCAGAACTTCAGAAATATATTTATAAATTTTTTAAAATGAAAACTTAAAAAAAAAAAAAACGAAGAAAATGAATAAATAAAACCTATTCAGTTAATCAGACTACCCAAAAACAGGACTTAGGAAAATGGACACTGGATGCCAGAAAACCCAGATTTTAATCCAAGCTCTGCCTCTTGTTTTCTGAATCACATTAAGCGCCTACATTGTACCAGACATTGTTTCAGGCATTTTGCATGCCACAGAGAATTAGAAACCTAAGTCCCTACTCTCAGAGAACCTGTATTCAAATGAATGAAGACAGGCAATAAATAAGTAAACAATAAGAATCGGCTAAATGCATGTGGCTGGCAGAAGTCTAAATAGCCCTAAGATCCCACACACCTGCTCCCAATTAGCTCACTCAAACCCCATCTAATTGCTGCTGTGAAGGGACTCCGCATCGGGCAGCTCTGAGGAAGGCAGTTTATCCTGATGGGCCCGACTCTCCAGTGAGGACTTAGCAGACACTGGCTCCTCTCTGCAGGGGAAACTGCTGCAGGAGGGGATTCCGCATGAGGGACCTCTCCACTTCTGAACCTGAAGATGGAAGGGGCCATGCGGCAAGGGATGGGGTGACCTCCAGGAGCTGGGAGGAGCCCACAGCAAGGAACTAGTTCCTGCCACAAGCATGTGACTTGGGAAGAGGTCCCGGAGCCCCAGATGAGAACTTGGCCCAGCCAACACCTTGATTTCAGCTTTGAGAGATGTGGAGTTGAGATCCCAGCCACACTGTGCCAAAACTTCTGACCACAAAACTATCTCTGGGTTTAAAAAGGATCTTTTTAAGAGATTTATTTATTTGAAAGGCAAATTTAGGGGAAAAGAAAGAGAGACAGAGAGTGAGAGAGACTGATCTTCCACACACTGTTTCACTCCTCAAATAGCTGCAACAGCCACGGCTGGGCCAGGCTGAAGCCAGGAGCCTAGAACTCCATCTGAGTCTCCCACGTGGGTGCAGGGGCCCAAGGAGCTGAGCCATCTCTGCTGCTTTCCGAGGTGCATTGAAACAGGGAGCTGACTTGGAAGTGAAGCAGTTGGGACTCTAACGAGTGCGCATATGGGATGCAGGGGTAGCAGGCAGCAGCTTAACATGCTGTACCACAACACAGGTCCCAGGATCTTACTTTAAGCTGTTAAAACTGTTGTAACTTGGGGCACAATGTGGCACAGTTGGAGAGGGAAGTCACCACGTGCAATGCTGGCATCCCATATGTGTGCCAATTTATGTCTCAGCTGCTTCACTTCTGATCCAGCTGCCTGCTAATGTGGCTGGGAAAGCAGTGGAAGATGGCCCAAGGACTTGGGCCCCTGCACCCACATGGGAGATGGAAGAAGCTCCTGGCTCCTGGCTTGGGATCAACCCAGTTCTGGCTGTTTTGGCCATCTGGGGAGCGATGAAGTAGATAGATTGATCTCTCGATCTCTCTCTCTGAAACTCCACCTTTCAAAGAAATAAATCAATCTTTGGGGCCCAACACTGTCACATGGTAGGCTAAGCCTCTGCCTTGAAAGCCAGAATCCCATATGGGCACTGGTTTGAGTCCTGGCTGCTCCTCTCTGATCCAGCTCTCTGCTATGGCCTGGGAAAACAGCGGAAGATGGCCCAAGTCCTTGGACCCCTGCAACCATGTGGGAGACCCTAAAGAAGCTCCTGGCTGCTGGCTTCAGATTGGCCCAGTTCCGGCCATTGTGGCCAACTGTGAAGTGAACCAGCAGATGGAAGACATTTTTCTGTCTCTCCCTAACTCTGCTTCTCAAATAAATAAAATCTTAAAAATAAATATATCCAGGCCGGCGCCGCGGCTCACTAGGCTAATCCTCCGCCTTGCAGCGCCGGCACACCAGGTTCTAGTCCCGGTTGGGGTGCCGGATTCTGTCCCGGTTGCCCTCTTCCAGGCCAGCTCTCTGCTATGGCCCAGGAGTGTAGTGGAGGATGGCCCAAGTGTTGGGCCCTGCACCCCATGGGAGACCAGGAGAAGCACCTGGCTCCTGCCTTCGGATCAGCGCGGTGCACCAGCCGCAGTGCGCCAGCCGCGGTGGCCATTGGAGGGTGAACCAACGGCAAAAGGAAGACCTTTCTCTCTGTCTCTCTCTCTCTCTGTCCACTCTGCCTGTCAAAAATAAAAAATAAAAATAAAGTAAATAAATCCAAAAATATGAATTATTTTTTAAAAAAATATATATAGGAAGAAAGCATGGCTGAAGCCCAGGAAGTAAAAAACTGTGTGCAATGTGGTCTGAAAGACAAGCAGGAATCAGGGATCATCCAGGACCCTGGAGTCCAGCTAAGCAGCTGGACTGTATTCTAACTGTGAAAAGAAGATGTGGCTAAGCATGGGTGCGGAACAGCCATTTACAGATCGCGTGGCTACCACGTAGGAGCAATTAGTTGACACAGATAGACTGAAAGCAGAGAGCAGGCAGGAGCCTATTGCAGGTGTCCAGGGAGGGGCTGGTGGGGCTGGCTGGGGTGGGGGTACCGGCAAGAGGGTAAGTAGGAGGATTTACAATGTATTTTGAGATACAATTGGGGATAGGCTAGTTGCTGGAGTAAAGACAAATAATCAAATATAACTCCTACACTTAATAATAATTAAACCCAGGCCGGCGCCGTGGCTCACCAGGCTAATCCTCCGCCTTGCGGTGCCGGCACACTGGGTTCTAGTCCCAATCGGGGCACCGGATTCTGTCCCGGTTGCCCCTCTTCCAGGCCAGCTCTCTGCTGTGGCCAGGGAGTGCAGTGGAGGATGGCCCAAGTGCTTGGGCCCTGCACCCCATGGGAGACCAGGAGAAGCACCTGGCTCCTGACATCGGATAAGCGCGGTGCGCCGGCCGCAGCGCGGCAGCCATGGCGGCCATTGGAGGGTGAACCAATGGCAAAGGAAGACCTTTCTCTCTGTCTCTCTCTCACTGTCCACTCTGTCAAAAAAATAAAAAAAATTAAACCATACTTTAAAAACATTTATATAATACACTGTAAAGGATTCAGAGAAAATTTGTATACAAATTCCTAGTTTACTCTAAGGAATGGTGATATTCTTTACAAAGCATGAAAAGGGAATTGTCTCTGGATTACTCTGTGTGTCTACTATCATTCTTACCCCACAATTAATAACAAGAACAGTTCACAGTTATTCTGGATTCTAGACAATAGTCACGTGTACCTGCAAACACATCTCTAATCTTCACAACTCTGTGAAGTTTTTGAGTTACAGAGTCTATGAAACCCAGAAAATGGCTAATGCCACAGATCTTTCCCTCTCTCTGGCAGGCCCTGTAGCATGGGTTTCCCTCTCCTTTCATTAGGTTTGTATATCCTGCTTGATTGGAATCTCACTTGAAAACAGAACAAAACTGTGCAACATGATTTACCATCTACACAACAGCAGCTTGGAAAGTTACTGTCTCATGCACAGTGCATCAACTACACATGTGCAAAGCTGCAATGAAATGAAACAGACTGGGCCGCTGGTCAATCAGGGCTGCTCAGAGCACAGCAGGACACGCAAGAACGGAGATGGCAAAGCTGGGAGGGCAGGGCCAGGTCACAGAGGATGCGGGACTTCATCTGTGGCCAGCAAGTGCTAGCAAAGGGTTCTGAGAAGGGGAACGACGGGGGATCCCTCTGGTAACAAGGTGAATGCTGAATCTGACAAGGCTGATAAAGCACCCACGCCAGTCAGAGCAATGGAAATGTATGAGTGGATATCCAGAATGTGGCTTAAAAGGCGAGAAAACAGCCCAGGCTGAGTCTCGAGTTTTAATTGAGAGCTTGAGTGGGAGCCAATGCCCCAGCTGAAAAAAAAAGACAGAGAAAATGAATCTGGAAAACCCAGACCCACTGACTTCTACATTTTTTTTCACTACCTCTCAATTTATGTAGTAAAAACTGAGAGTGAAAGAAATTAAGTCGCAGAACAGGCAGCAGAGCATGAACCCCAGGCTCCTGCCACCTAGTCTTGTACTCATCCTGTAAAAACGACCGTTTTCATCTCTTCACGATTGTTACTTTGTATAATGCATGAACACACGAAACTGAAACCAGGCCTCACAACCAGGAAGCCTCCCCTCTGCAAACTTTTACACTCGGGCAGTATTTTCATAAAATACATTTTAAATACTCACTTCAAATTCTTTTACAAAATAACGAGTTTCTCCTTGAATAACCGGTCTGTGATCCAAAAGTCTCGAATGAATTTCTCCGAGATCTACAGAGAGATAATGAAGTTGAGGGTTAGTCTATGCTAAGTGGCCTAATCTCTGGCTTATTTTCTTCTCCTTCCCCATGTAGAAAGTAAAATCCAATTCAGCTGTGGCTTAGGAGGCGAGCTCACCTACACCACTGGTGTGTAAACTGGTACAGCTACTTCTGAGAACAAGCTGGCAGTTTCTAATGAAGCTGAAGACATGTACGCCTAGCGATCTCATGCCTACGTGTGCACCCTGGAAAAACGCTGGCACCAATGAATAGGGCATTTATAAATGTTTATTACAGTGTGGGTGTAATATCAAAAGAAAATAATCCTAACTGCATTCATACACTGGGATACAAAGAATCAATGTGTAAAAGTGAATAAGTCAGTTATGTTAATTGACATGAATAAATCCCACAAGTAAATGTTGAACAAAAATATCTAACTTTCACAAAGATCCGCTTACATAAACTTTAAAAATATGCAACGTGTTCCTTCTTCTTGGGCCACATACGGCAGAAATAAAGCTAGAAAGAACTGCGTGAGAATGCTAGTAAACTCAGGGTAGCGGCTACCTTTGGAGATGGGAGAGAAATGAATGCAATCTGAGGAAGGCACCTGGCAGAGCTCTCATGAAATATCCGCTAAGGCGGGAGGTGAGTGTTTATTCTAACTCCTTACTTCTTGATATTTCTGAAAAGGTCATAATTTAAAAAGTTCTGAGTTCTGGTGAGTCTATTCATCCTTCTTCGTAGCTGCAAATTAGTAACTGCAGCTCAAAATCTCTGGCGAAACTAAACTTCTGAAACGTATATGAAGTATTCAAAAAGTTCATGGAAAAATGTGTATTATGGAAAAAAAGTTTGCACCAAAATTGTTACCTTTTAAGTCCATTTTAAACAAATTCATACATCTTACCAAGTAAGCTAAATAGAAAAAATACAAATATCTCGAAAAAATTCCCTGAATTTTTTAGTTTCTTGTCTTTCAACCTTTAAAACAGTTTTTAATCCTCCTCCCTTCAGTTGCATTGGGGTACAAACTGAGAACTAATGATTTAGCTATTCAACACATTTATCACTCACACGGTCACCGCTCTCCCTTCCCCCATGTGAGAACACTTAAGATGATCTTAGCAAACTTTAAGAATAAAACACTGAATTATCTTTAAGAGAAAAATATCAAAATTAAAAACCCTGTGCGCCGGCACCGTGGCTCACTAGGCTAATCCTCCGCCTTGCAGCGCCGCCACACTGGGTTCTAGTCCCAGTCTGGGCGCCGGATTCTGTCCCGGTTGCCCCTCTTCCAGGCCAGCTCTCTGCTGTGGCCCGGGAGTGCAGTGGAGGATGGCCCAAGTGCTTGGGCCCTGCACCCCATGGGAGACCAGGAGAAGTACCTGGCTCCTGCCATCAGATCAGCGCGGTGCGCTGGCCACAGCACACTGGATGTGGCGGCCATTGGAGGGTAAACCAATGGCAAAGGAAGACCTTTCTCTTTCTCTCTCTCACTGTCCCCTCTGCCTGTCAAAAATTTCAAAAAACAAACAAACAAACACAAAACAACCCTGTGCAACAAAAGAGAACAGAATAAAAAGTCAACTCACAGAATGGGGGAGAATATTCGTAAATCATGAATGAAAAAAAAAAAATCATGAATGAGAAAAGGGGCTAAGGTCTAGGATATATAAAGAACTACAACCTGAACACTAAAAAACTTGATTAAAAAATGAGCAAACGATTTGAGCAGACATTTCTCTAAAGAAGATATACACTCTGACAAATGGACAAAAGGCACACGAAAGCACACTTGACATCACTCATCACCAGAGAAATGCACATCAAAACCACAATGAATCGCAGGTGTTTGGCACAGTGGTTAAGATTCCAGTGGGGCCGGCGCCGCGGCTCACTAGGCTAATCCTCCGCCTAGCGGCGCCGGCACACCGGGTTCTAGTCCCGGTCGGGGCGCCGGATTCTGTCCCGGTTGCCCCTCTTCCAGGCCAGCCCTCTGCTGTGGCCAGGGAGTGCAGTGGAGGATGGCCCAGGTGCTTGGGCCCTGCACCCCATGGGAGACCAGGAAAAGCACCTGGCTCCTGGCTCCTGCCATCGGATCAGCGCGGTGTGCCGGCCGCAGCGCGCCAGCCGCGGCGGCCATTGGAGGGTGAACCAACGGCAAAAGGAAGACCTTTCTCTCTGTCTCTCTATCTCACTGTCCACTCTGCCAGTGGGATGCCCACACCCCATACTTGGCACAGTGGTTAAGATTCCAGTGGGATGCCCACACCCCATACTTGGCACAGTGGTTAAGATTCCAGTGGGATGCCCACACCCCATACTTGGCACAGTGGTTAAGATTCCAGTGGGATGCCCACACCCCATGCTTGGCACAGTGGTTAAGATTCCAGTGGGATGCCCACACCCCATACTTGGCACAGTGGTTAAGATTCCAGTGGGATGCCCACACCCCATGCTTGGCACAGTGGTTAAGATTCCAGTGGGATGCCCACACCCCATGCTGCAGTGCCTGGGTTTGAGTCCTGGCCCCATACCCGGTCATGCGCACTCTGGGGGGCGGCAGGGATGGCTCGAGTACTCGGGTTCCTGCCATCATTCAGCGGTGGACCAGGACTGAGTTCCGAGTTCCTGGCTTCAGCCTGGCCCAGCCACAGCTGTGTGCATTTAGGGTGTGAACTACAGGATGGGAGATCCTGTCTGTGTCTCTACCTTTCAAATAAAAATGTTAACAATTAAAAAAAAAAAAAAAAGAGGAGACATCATTTACCAAAGACAGAAAATAAGTGTTGATGAGGATGTGGGAAAACTGGAGTTTTTGTGCACTGTTAGTGGAGAAAATGGTGCAGCCAATATAGAAAACCACTTATCAATTCCTTAAAAAAACAAAACAAAACAAAAAAAAAAAAAACTAAAGACAGAATTTCCATGTGATTCAGAAACTCCATTGTGGGCACATAGCCTGAAGGACTGAATGGACAGATACTTGTTCATCCATATTCACAGAAACATTATTTACTATAGTCAATGGATGGAAGCCACCCAGACAGCCTCCATCTGTCCATCTGGATGCAATCCATAGACAAGTGAATGGATACAGAAAATGTGATCTATACTATGAAAACATGCACTCCCATGTACTCATATATGACTATCATTCAGCTTTACAAAGGAGGCAAATTCTGACTCGTGCTACAGCGTGAATGCGCACAGTGAGGCTATGATGCTAAATGAAAAGAAAAAAAAAGCTCAGAGTAGGACAGGCACTGGATGCTTCCACTCCGAGGAGACACAGAGCAGTCAAATTCCGAGACAGAAGTGGAAGGGTAGATGCCAGGGACGAGGAGCAAGGAGGAGTTAGTGCTGAGTAACACGTGGTGCGATTTACAGGGAAAACAACTCTGTGGATGGAGCGTGCCAACAGGAGCACCAGGTGAATGTAACTTAGCGCCACGGGACCGGGCCTTGTCCATCAGTGAAGGCGATACATTGTGTTACCCTTAGGTTACAATTTATAAGAAACATCTCAAGTGGTACATCACCAAGAGTGACTTACAAACAATTCTCACTAAGCCCTAATGACCCAAGCAACGCTCCCACAGCGTACAACTGGAAACAGCAAGCCGGGAAACGGCCAACAGCCGGGCGAGGCCGGCACACCTGCCGGACGTGGTTAGAGCGCAGACACGCAGCGCGCGAAGCAGCCCAGTCCCGGGCAGGGCCGGGTGGGAGACGAAGCGTGGGGTGAGCAGGTGCGGCTTCCAGCGGGCAGCCCCCTTCCCGCGGCGGGCTCTGCGAAAGACCCTGCCACGGGTTCCGTGGGAACCCAGCTGTAAGGTCCCAGCTCCAGGACGCAATGGCCAGCGGTCCACGCACGTGGGCAGCGCGCCTGACGGCGCTTCCTCCTGCACCCCTCGCTGGACCCGGGGGCGGGCGCAGCGACGGACACAGGCCCCGCGCCCCGCGCCCCAGCCCCCAGGCCCACGCGACCCCCAGCTCGGGGGCCCCTGCGTTTCGGGTGGGTCGCGAGACGCGCGGGCGTGCTGAGCTCCGGGAGGGGCAGAGACCGGGCCCGAAGGCTCTGGACTCCGCCAGCAGACGGAAGCGAGAGGCCCACAGGCGTCCGCCTGGCTGGTTGTCACCGGGCAGCCACTAGCGCGGGGGAAACAGGCGGGGACCCACCACGGCTCCCCCGTCCCGCACACACACACGCGCGCGCGCGCGCGGGTCAGAGGGCGCCGCCTGGGAGGTGCAGCAGCGCTGGCGGCCGCTGAGACGATAGCCCGGCCACTGCGTACCCTTGATAATGAGATGCGCTGAGCCCGCGGTCCCCAGCGAGTCCCGCTTCTTGCCGCCGCCGCCCGTGGGGACCTCACAACCCACAGGGGTCTCTTCCCCTCCGCCACTCATCCCGGCCGACTCCGCCCCTCCCCGTCGGGGCTGCGCCTGCGCAAACAGTTCGTCATCACAGTGCGTCTGTCCCGTGGGCGGTTCCGGGAAGGAGCCTATAGGGTACCGAAGAGCCTGAATGGGCAGAAGCCAGCGCCGCCATGCTGGATGAGGGCAGATAGTACCTGAGTTTGAGGGCTTATGAGAGTTAAACCCCGTTTTATCTGCCCTTAAACCTGCGTGGAACTAGTGTGGGTTAGAGAGGAGGAGGGGAGAGGTGCAGTTGCGTACTGCGTTAGTAGTAGTAATGTACTAGCTGTGTTATTACCTGCCACTCATATTTTTTTGAAGCATTTTGATGTGTATTGTCACATTATAGCAACTCAGGGGAGGGTTGTTTTTTTTTTTTATTTTTTCAGTTGATTTTCATTTTATGTTAAAAGCAGAGAGCCAGAGATATACCTGAGACTAAGAGAAGAAGAGAGATCTTCCATCCGCTGCTTCCCTCCCCAAATGCAACAGACAAGGAAACCGGGAACCCAGAACTCCCTCCGGGTCTCCTGCCACGAGGGTGGCAGGCAAGGGATCGAATCCTCCAGCCACCACCTGCTGCCTTCCAGGCTGCCCACTAGCAGGGAGCGGATCGGAAGGAAGCATCACAGTACGGGACCCAGGTGACCCAGGCCTCCTCTTAGCTGCGGGGCCGTTTGCATTCCCCAGGGAGACGGTTATCCTTTCTAATAAGTGAAGTAACAGCCTTAGAGGTTAAGTAACTTGCTTAAGTTACTGTTCAGGCTCATTTGTGCCCACATGGCATTTGTAGTCATATTTACAAATATTCAACCATCTGTTACATGGACTGAGATAAAAATACATGTAATTACGGAAGGGAGCCGTTTGCGAGCCTGCTGAGACTCTCTCTAACATTCATCTTGTGTTCTCAGCAAGTCTTCATGGTTTTCACAGAAAAACGTGCAACTTCGCAGTGGCTCCTTCAGCTCCCACTAATGCCTAGCAAGTTAATCACGGGCATCAGGGTGGTGGAAGAACGTAGATCTCCATCTGCAAAACACAGAGCACGAGGCTGGGCAACGATTGCTTGTTCCTGGGCTCCCTGAGGGCTAGGGGTGCCGGTTCTAACCGGTCGTGGAGCAGTGAATGTTTCGCTCATGTGCAGGTCCCTGGTTTGTCGCCAGTGCTCTTGGCCCTCCTTTGATTGGTCAGCAGTATTGTATTCTTTTGAGAATGTTAATGATGGCAAAATTGGCTTCAGTCAGGTGATAGTTACTTCTTGGTTATGGGCCTGGGATTCCTGGAAAAATCCTCAAGATAAGCGCAAACATCAAGATGTTATCTGTGTTGTGGCAGAGCAGGTTAAACTGCCACCTGAGGCGGCAGCAGCCGCTATGAACGCTGGTGTGAGTCCCAGCTGCTCTGTTTCTGAGCCAGCTGCCTGCTGCTGTGCCTGGAAAAGCCGCGGAACATGGCCCAAGTGCTTGCGCCCCTGCAACCCTTGTGGGAGCCCTGGATGGGGTTCCAGGATCCTGGTGTCGGCCTGGCTCAGACCCGATGTTTGCGGCCGTTTGGGGAATGAACCAGTGAATAGAATCAATCTCCGCCCCTACCCCCCGCCCCAGCCCCATAACTCTGCCTTTAAAATAAAATAAATTTTTAAAGAGGGGCCTATAAATGATGGCGTGAAGGAAGGTACAGAGCACGTGTGGGACCCCTGCGGGGGGAGGGGCCCAGGAGAGGCTTCCTAGAGGAGGCAACTATTTGTCTTTGGCCTTGAAGTAAAAGGATAGCCAGGTTGGGGGGGGGGGTGAAGAAGGAACTTGGGGTTTCCTAGTAGAGGAAGTAATAATCCTAAAGGTCACGAGGCATAAAACAGATGAATTAATAAAATGCAAGCTTAATTAATTGCAAAGAGTTGAGCCTGGCTTGTAACCTTGCTGCATGTGTTTCATTTCCTCAGCATTCGTATTGATGTCTTGAAAGCATGATTCCTGTTAGAGCCCCTTAGTCTCCCCACTTCTATGCACTGTCCTTAATCAAGCTTTTTTTCATTCCAAATTTCCTCTAAGCCTGTTGCCTTAGTGTCCTCAAAATGCTAGAAAACCTGGGAACACTCAGAGTGAGGTTGACTGCTGGATTCAGATAGAATTGGCTTCAGATTCTGGCTTTGCCACTTGCTTGTAAGAACCATCAGAATACCCCATCCCAAATACATCCCTTTGCCATGTTTCATGTTGGCTGTTCAGAGAAACCTCAGACCCCTACAGGAAGGGATGGCTCTGGAGAGCTGTCCTTTTACAAATATTTTTATTTATTTGACAGAGCAAAATGGAGCTCCCATCCACTCTTCATTCCCCAAATGCACCACGTCTGGGGGTGAGGCAGGCTGAAGTCAGGAGTTGGGAACTCAATACAGCTCCCCCACATGGGCAGCAGGAACCCAATCATTTGCAGCATCTACCACTGCCAGCCAGGCAGGGGTTGCATTAATAGGACGCTGGGACTGGGTGGCGGAGGTGAGATTGAAACCAGGTGTTCTGATGTGGGACACAGGTGCCTTCACTTCAGGCTAAAGCTCTCTGTGAAAAGCCTGTATAAAAAGAAATGCATATCTATGTCATTAGTAAACAGAAGATGCAGGCAGGGGCCGGCGCTGTGGTGCAGCGGGTTAAAGCCCTGGCCTGAAGCGCCGGCATCCATATGGGTGCCGGTTCGAGACCCGGCTGCTCCACTTCCGATCCAGCTCTCTGCTATGGCCTGGGAAAGCAGTGGGAGATGGCCCAAGTCCTTGGGCCCCTGCACCTGCGTGGGAGACCAGGAAGAAGCTCCTGGCTCCTGGCTTCGGATCAACTCAGCTCCGGCCGTTGCAGCCATCTGGGGAGTGAACCAGCGGATGGAAGACCTCTCTCTCTCTCTCTCTGCCTCTCCTTCTTTCTCTGTATAACTCTGACTTTCAAATAAATAAATAAATCTTAAAAAAAAGAAAAAGAAGAAGATACAGGCAGAGCCTTTTCTCTCTGATGTTCCCTCTTTCTGCCTAGACAAGATCTTCTCCCAGAACAGGAGACAGAGTCTGACAGCTACCAGACAGCGGTTACCACCGGTGGCTGTGGCTGTCACCTGGGAGACTTTGGCTCACGGTCCTGCAGACACAAGGCAGCCCCTGCTGGCTGTACAGCTCTTCCCCTCAGCCTTCTTAGCCTGGGCCACCTCCCTTCCCCTGAGAAGCCCAAATCCCTGGTCTTTGTTAAGCCCTGTATTAGGTTCAGCCATAGAGTATTACACTCCCATGCCTCAGGCGTGTAATACATTTTCTGTTCTTTTTCCTATTATGTGTATATTGCCAGTGTGTTTAATAGACTGAAACCACCAAAATGTCAGTGGGAAAAGAGTGAATATAAAGCTTTTCTACACCTGCCGCTACCTGTAAAATGGCAACAAAATTCCCGTCTTGTAGGAATGGTGTGGTGATTAGCATCTTCCTGTGTGGTGAGCATCTGCTGTGTGCCCAGAGCAGTGCTAGGAGCCGAGATATCGTGAGGAACAAGACGATCAAGCAGACGGTCCTGCAGAGGAGAGAACACTAAGTCTGTGCACAATCACTGCGATGGTTTGGGTATGCGTAGGGTGCCCACTGTGGCAGTGGTGGGAGGTGGTGGCTGGTGGGAGGTACTAGGTCGTTAGGGGTGTCATTTGAGGAAGGATTAATGTACATTTTACAGGGCGCTGGCTAGTTCCCACAAGAATGAGTTGTTCTGGAATGGGAGAACCTGCTTCCTGAGTCTCTGGCTTCCTGTCTGGCCTTGTGGCTCCTCCTCGCACATGCTCCTACAAGCGATGCCGTCTTCCATGTTGTGGTGCGGCCAGTCCGCGCTGGAACCAGCAAAGGTCAGCACCACAAGCTAAATAAACCTCTGTATACGTTACCCAGCTTTGTAATAGGGAAAAAAGTTACTTTCCTCCAATTCTGTTGTTGGTAGCCTATGAGCATGTATTCCAGTCACTTGATTATATTCAATAATTGTATTGTTGCCTGGGCTGGCCAGGACCAGCATATACCTCCGTTTCCTTCTTCCTGTTTCTGGAAAGGTTCACCCACACCCGTTTCTTCCTCTCCTTTTGCGGAAGTCTTTCACCTGCCAGCTCTGGCAGCTGGGGGAGGGTCCCTGAGGAGCACCGTGAGCAGTCCCGTTCTGCTGGCACTTCCAGTTGCTCTGAGTGTGTCCTTGGGCTCACATCTGTGGAATCGCAAGAGTTTTGAGGCTAAAAGCGGATTCTACCCGTTTATCATCTCCCCGGAGTTCTTGTTTCTGGATGGGTGAGGCTTTTTGTTATTTTAAATGAAATTTCTATTGTAGATTTTTTTGTAAAGATTTATTTATTTATTTGAAAGTCACAGTTACACAGAGAGAGGAGAGGGAGAGAGAGAGAGAGAGAGAGAGAGAGAGAGAGAGGTCTTCCATCCACTGGTTCACTCCCCAAATGGCCGCAACGGCCGGAGCTGTGCCGATCCAAAGCCAGGAGCCAGGAACTTCTTCTGGGTCTCCCACATGGGTGCAGGGGCCCAAGGACTTGGGCCATCTTCTACTGCTTTCCCAGACCACAGCAGAGAGCTGGATCAGAAGTGGAGCAGCCAGGACTGGGACCAGCGCCCATATGGGATGCTGGCGCTTCAGGCCAGAGCCTTAACCTGCTGAGCCACAGCGTTGGCCCCTGTTGTAGATTTTTGACAGGCAGAGTTAGACAGTGAGAGAGAGAGACAGAGAGAAAGGTCTTCCTTTCCGTTGGTTCACCCCCTCAAGTGGCCGCTACAGCCAGTGTGCTGTGCCGATCCGAAGCCAGGAGCCAGGTGCTTCCTCCTGGTCTCCCACGCAGGTGCAGGGCCCAAGTTCTTGGGCCATCCTCCACTGCCCTCCTGGGCCACAGCAGAGAGCTGGCCTGGAAGAGGACTAGAACCCGGTGTGCCGGCGCTGCAGGCAGAGGATTAGCCTAGTGAGCCTCGGCACTGGCCGATACTTGTGCATTAATTGATATTTTATTTTGTTG